AGTAAAAAAAGAGGAGAGAGAGAGAGAGAGAAAGAAAAATATAACAAAGATAGAAAAGGCGAGAAAAAGAAGAAGAAGAAGAAGAAGAAGAAGAAGAGGAAGAAGAAGAAGAAAAAGAAGAAGAAGGAATGAGAAATGGAAAGAGCAAGAAGATGAAGAAGAATCTTCTTTGTAAAAATATCATCAACGTTAATATCTCGTAGCGGTATTAAATATCGATCAATTGTGCGCTATCATCGTCGACGTGGTCCCTCGTTTTGAAACAGCAATAAGTCGTCTTAGGAACAACAATTTCACCAAGTTCTCGTATCGCGAACTGAATCGTATCGTGCACCCACTGTCGATCGACGATTCGACTATACCTCGTCCGAAATCAATTGATCAATTTGAAGGCAATTCGTTAGAACCTACCCCATTCGTTTCATTCTTTTATCTCTCCTTCTCTTCCATTTTTACTTTCTCTTACTGTTTATTATTTATTTCTTTTTTTTTTTTCAATCGTTCAATCATTATTACTTTTCTTCGAACGGCCTCGACCAATTGACATCGAACGAGAAATAATTAATCACGAGAATAAAAAAATAAATGGCGATCTCTGCTCGCCTCCTTAACCTATATATAATATCATCGTGAACTTATCGACGGAACTTATCGATCGATCGTAACGTAATATCGATTTAATTCACTCACGAGCATCGCCAATTCAAGTTCCCGACCACGACATACACACGGGTCGTTAATATTTGCATCACAATCATAGAATAATAATATTACGGGAACTTAGACTGGCGATAGGAACAACAGCCATACAAAGGTCATCAGAAGCTCCTCCTTGCACTCCCATGGATAAATTCACGATAAACCGCGATCCGATCGCGATTCTACGGACGGTTTTCCGCGATTGATAAATCGCTGTTACGCGCAAGACAAGGGTACGATCGGGAACGCCCAGAAAAGAAAGCGTCCGAAGGAATGTTCTACAGTGTGGCTCGTTAAATTCTTCGTGGGATCTCTGCGGCTACCAGCGGTTACCAGCTCGCGCTTTCTCGCATAACTCGTGAGCACCGCTGCGTGCAACTCGTCCCAGACAGCACACGACGTCTAAAAGTTGTCTATTATGGAGTTAGTTTTTAAACCAACAACGCCTTAAAGATGCCTGGTGCAAATTTTTTACTTACTTTTTATTTAAACGATGTTTCAATAATTATTTTTATACGATCAACAATTGGTGATTGTGTTATATAAAAGGAAAGAATGATAAATATGTTATTATTAATTATCAATTATTTTCTCTACGAGAAACGTATGGAGTTTCTCGAATACTTTTGCACCGTTTAGAACACGATTCGAACTATAAAGGGAATATAAGATATATACGAATAATTCTAAAGCTTGAGAACTAATTATGTATAAATGTTTTGATGATGGAAGATGTTACTGATGATAATTTATCACAGATAAACTTGCGATTCTCTCAATTGGTCTTTCATTATAATTCGAAGTAGAATCGTCTTTTGACTTTTAATTTTTAAACTCTAATTTCTTTTCTTTATAAATTTTACCAGACGCTCTTTAAGACGCTCATAACCCGTCTCTGTGCTATCCGACATACAACATGCAATTCAAATAAATATCCGGATCGACGAGAGAACGATCCTAAGATAATTTCCAAAAAAAAAAAAAAAAGAAAAAAAAGAAAAAATTAATACTAATCGATACTTTAATAGATCTCACGATGCTCGACGCTAGTCATGGTTAGCTCTTTGCCGGGATCCTGAAACTTCTTCAGTCGTCGTAAATCATCCCGAATTCTCGAACCGAACGAAGATTCTGATCGATGGACGGAAAATATGAAAAGAAAAAGAAGAAAAAAAAAAACGGAGAGAAAAAACTTACGAAGAGACAAGCGAGAACAGAGGACAGAAATAGATATATAAAGTGATAAAGAAGAGAGGAAAAAAAAAAAAAAAGAAAAAAGGAAGACTCGCACGGTGTATCCTTTCGTTGACCATCACCATCGTGCAAAATCGCCGATCCACTTTCCGCACCGTGCCACCGGGAATTAGATTAAATGGAGTAGCAAGGATTAACTGCAATCCAATTGGACGTTGGGAACCGGAAGTAGGTTGTTTGGCCCATCCAACGCGACTAACTAGGTGGATTACAGGCGTTCCCCGCGGGATCGACCGACACCTGGTGTGATTGACTCCTGTTCGTCACGGTGCTCGTTGTCGTGCCGCTCGTCTCGCCAGATGGGCTTGGATTCCCGCTATTTCCGTTGTTACTGGCGCCACTGCCGCTCGCCTGTTGCTGAACACTGGGCTTCTGCGTCACGTGGGTCTGGTAATGTTTCGCCAAATGTGCCTTCTGCCGGAAACTCTTGCCGCACAGGGAACAGGCGAACGGTTTCTCGCCCGTGTGCGTTCTGATGTGAACGTTCACGCTGTACTTGTCCTTGAAACCTTTGCTACAGATGCTGCAATAATGCAACGAACGTTCCTTCCGTTGAACGCTGCCCGGCGAGCCGCCCGAACCACCCTGTTGCTGCCCACTCGTGTTTCCACC